CAAAAGGTAAACATGGACTCGCAAGAACGTCTGGGAGGTCGTTGACGTAGATCAGAAACAGGAGTGGTCCCAAGACGGAGCCTTGAGGAACTCCAATGGAGACCGGCGCTGGAGAGGAATAAGTTGAGCCTATTCTCACTCTGAATGACCTGTCTGATAGGAACGCCTTGATCCAGCGATGGATTTTCCCTTGAATCCCGTAAGACTCGTGTTTGTGGAGCAGCGGGACGTGTGGGACCCTATCGAATGCTTTTGAGAAGTCGAAAAATATGGCATCCGATATGAGTCCTTCGTCCTTGGCTTGGGTTAAGCTGTTCATAAACACGAGCATGTTTGTCACGCAAGAACGGTTTGGGAGGAATCCGTGTTGAGCTGGAGATATCAGGTTGCTGGAAGTAAGGTGATCTAGGATGGCTCGCTTCAGAATGCGTTCCATCACCTTGCACGGCACGCTAGTGAGGCTTATAGGCCTATAGCTGCCAGGCGATAGTCGGTCACCAGTTTTGTATATTGGCGTGACAATCGCTTCCTTCCAAGCAGGGGGAAGGCGGCCTTCGTCAAGCGACTGACGAAACACCAAGTGTAACTGGTTTGCCAGTGTTCGAAGAATGTTGGTTGCCGATGCCGTATCCAGAAGGCGCGGGGATTTCCAAAACTTATTCGCGCTATACGCTTTATGTACGACGCGCTGTACAAGTGTCTTTGACCCGTTTTAGGTGGTTACCATACGTTGTGCACGTTTGGTAGTTGCTTTCAACAGGAATACTAGCTTGGGTGGTCCAGACTGAGAACCAAGCTGAGGAAAACACCAGTATTACAATTAGCGATCGGAAACATACGATGTCAGTCGACTTTATTGAGCTCAGAGAATTATTGCGGCAGCAACAAGAGCACATTGAAGAGGCGTAACTGGAGCCCACTGAATCGCTTGCTCGGATGCCGCACTTCCAGACTGCAGTAGCCGGTACTGTTGAGTCTTCCGTCTCCTCAACTGTTTCAACCACGGCCTCATTCGTTGAGTTCAAATTTGACCGTCTCTTTGGTCACGCTTTTGACTACTGGTTCAAGCGGTACGAAGATATGTTAAAAATTGTTTAGCCAAGTCTGACAACGGGTGGAAAGTCAGAATATTGCCGCGAAAAATCGGCACACCAGAGTAAGTGCGGCAGAAGAACTTCATTAGTTTCCTCGAAGGATGATTTGTTTCACTATCCGTACATGGCATACTTCAAGCAAGTTTTTATTGGTCTCCAAGCGCTTCATGCCAGGGCTGTCACCGCACTCCTGGGAAAGTAGCTTTCTGGGTAGTGTGGTGGTCTGGCTACCTAATAAGTTAGTTTACCAGGAGTGTGTGGCAAAGAAACAAAAATATGTACGCTAGGTTCGGTATACAGAAATAAAGAGATCAGATGGAACAGGCTCACTAACAAATGTTCTCTTTAAAATAGTTCGTCCTTGACCCAGGTCAGCGAATAAACAATAATCCAATTATTTTGGTCCAGAGGTTTTCTTC